TAGCCCCTCGCCAGGCGTATCTGTGAGCCAGTGACCTGCCAGGAGAGTACCCTAGAAGAAGAACCCTATACACACTTCCTTATCTGAGAATTTCTGAAGCATACATGAGGTCTGTCCTATCAAAGTTTAGATTTGTGAAAGTCTTAAACTTCTTAGAAGCATGAACTTGTACTCACAGCATTAATTCTTTTGGATTTCCTACTTCAACTATATTAGGAGAGTGGCGATAAGTCTATTTACTTTCATTATCCTAAAGAAAAAAACAAAATCAGATTTGTTTGTTTATGATGGAAGGTAGCCAACTGTAGAAGAAATGTGGAATGCCATTTTGAAAACCAGGACCCCCAATAAATAACAGTAAATATAAATACCAGAGACTCCTGCTCTGTCATATCACATTTCTGGGAGGATTTTGCTGGATGCTTTCTCTTGTGTCTACTGAGTCTCCTGTCAGAAAAATGGAAGTATGAGTAGGAGATCCCATCTAAAATTAGAAACAGCCGGAGGCAGAGAAAGGCCCTGTGGGCACACTTGCTGAGGGCCAGTCCCACCCCCAACAGAAAAGGGAGCGGAGGAACGGGGCTGGGCTCCCACCTCTGGCGCCCTAGGTCTCTCTTAGTTTCAAGACTCCCCTGGAGCGGGAAGAGGAGAGAATAGGCGAGGGAGGCTAAGAGGTACAATCTTCCAGTTGCAAAGTAAATGAGTCACAGGGATGAAATATACAGCATCGGGAACATAGTTCATAATATTGTAATAAGTGTGTATGGTGACAGACAGTAACTAGACTTATGGTGGTGATCATTTTGTGATCGATAGAAATATTGAGTCACTATTTGAATGTGGAACGAACACAATGTTGTGGGTCAATTATACCTTAATTTTTTTTTTTTAAAAAATGACTCTCCTGGCACCATGCAGAAGGAAATAGGCCCCACCCAGCATAATTACCACGCACAGGTACTTTTGCTCTCCCAAATGGAAGTTAGAGTGTTGACATACTTCATTGTTGCAGCACTGTCATATATTTAACTTGATAACAGATAATGCATTCACCTGGTTCAAAACTCAAAATGACACAAAACATATATTTAGAAGGTTCATTGCCACCCCTATGTAATCATCTTTTTCAGTTTTTAATGTATCCTTTCAGTGCTTTTTATACATGTACTAATTCATCCTTTTATTCAATACCTATTTCCTAAGCACCTGCTATTTTCTAGGCTATATATTCTAAGCACTGTTTTGGGCATATAGTAGTCCCCCTTTTTCAGTGGAGAGCATGTTCGAACACCTCTAGAGGATGCCTGAAACTGGGGATAGTACCAAACCCTACACACACACACACACACACACACACACACACACACACACACACACACACACACACGTATATACTCAGTTGTTTCAGTCATGCCCAACTCTCTGTGACCTCATGGACTGTAGCCCACCAGGCTCCTCTGTCCATAGGATTCTCCAGGCAAGAATACAGGAGTGGGTTGCCATTGCCTGCTCCAATACATTGTATACTATAGTAAACATAGTGTATGTTTTTTCTATACATACATACCTATGATAAAGTTCAATTTATAAGTTAAGCACAGTAAGAAATTAACAATAAAGTGAAGTGAAAGTCACTCAGTCGTATCCAACTCTTTGCGACCCCATGAACTGTAGCCTGCCAGGTTCCTCTGTCCATGGAATTCTCCGGGCAAGAATACTGGAGTGGGTTGCCATTCCCTCCTCCAGGGGATCTTCCCAACCCAGGGATTGAACACAGGTCTCCCACATTGCAGGCGGATTCTTTACCATCTGAGCCCATGTTTGCCATTGCCTGCTCCAATATATATATATATATATATATATGTACTACAGTAAATATAGTATCTTTACTATATATATATATATATATATATATATAGTATACTATGTTTTTTCTATACATACATACCTATGATAAAGTTTAATTTGTAAGTTTAGCACAGTGAGAAATTAACAATAATAATAAAATTGAAAAATTACAATATATTGTAATAAAAGTTATGTGAAGGTAGTCTCTCCCAAAATAGTGTACCGTTCTTACCCTTCTTTGTGTAATGGTATGAGATGATGAAATGCCTATGTGACAAGAGAAAGTGACATTGGCATTGTGATTTAGCACTCTTCAGGCTTCCATTGAGCTTCGATGATAGGTCAGAAGGGGGTCATCTGCTTTGGGTGATCCTGGATCATACAGCTGTTGTGATGTCCATGCTTTGATGCCAGGAGAAGACTATATTAGTGGTTGGGGATCCCAGGTGGGGTGGAACATAGCTGGATGGCACGAGATTTCATTGTGATATTCAAAACAGTGCTCAATTTAAAATGTATGAATTGTTTATTTCTGCAATTTTCCGTCTAGTATTTGCAGACTGCAGTTGACCACAGGCAACTAAAACTGCAGAAAGCAAAACCATGAATAAGGGAGGACTGTTGTACATCCTAACTGTCATGGAGAAAAAAATCCTTATTCTCATGGAATTTATCATCTTGTAGGGGATAGACAGAAAATAATCAAGGCATGTAAGAAATAAGAAAATAGTGGAGTGAGGAGGATGGTGGTGTGGTGGTTTGAAGGGACACATTGTCATTTTAAATAGGGAGGTCAGGATAGACTTTACTGAGAAAGTGACATTTTGAGCGAAATTGAAGCAGGTGAAGGAGTTAGCTATGAGGGTATCTGGAGGAAGAGCATTCCAGACAGAAGGACAACCCATACAAAGCCCTGAAGCAGAGCATACCTGTCATGTTTACGGAACAGCAAAGACCCAAGTGTAGCTGCAGTGGAGAGAGTGGAGAGCAGTAGGTGTCAGAGAGGAAACACGAAAGGGCAATATCATGTAGGATCTCATGAGGACTTCAGTGTTTACTCTGAATGTGATGGGGAACCTGTCCCAGACTTTTAGTGGCATGATCTGACATTTTTGAATAGAATTTCTCTGGCTGCTATGTTGGAAAGAAAAGGCGGAAGAAGGGAGAGGTTGGTTTTGAGGCTATCGTATTAATCCAAGCAAGAGAAGATGGTGAATCAAACAAAGTTAGGAGCAGTGGAAGTATTAAGTGGTAAAGATTCTGGGCAAATTTTTGAAGTAGTCATTGATGGATTGGGTATAGAGTTTGGAGAAAAGAGAAGAGTCCATGATGACTCCAAGATTTTTGACCTGAGCATTTGGGAAAACTGAATTGCCATCTGCTGAGATGGCAAGTTAGGGAGGGAAGATCAGAAGATTATGCACAAGTGAAGTTTGAAATACCTTTCAGACATGCAAGAAGAGACGCCAAGTGGGCATTTGATCTAAATTTGAGAGTTGTCAGCATATAGATGGTATTTAGCCATGATACTAGATGAGATAGTCAAGGGGGTGAATATAGATAGAAAAAAATAAAGGCAAACCAAGGGCTGAGTCCTAGGAAACTCTAATGTTAGGAGCTGGGTGGGGCTGCGGGTGGGTAGAAGGAAAATCAGAAAAAGGAGCCTATAAGGAACAGTGAGGTAGAGAGAAAGTAGGACAGAGCAGTCCCCCAACGTTTGGTGGTGAAAACTTCTCAAGCAAGAGGAAGTGGCAAATTGTGTGACATGTTACTGAAAGTCAAGTGAAAGCACTGGCTTTAGCCATGTTGAGGTCACTGCTGTTTATGACAGGATCACTTTCAGTGGAATGGTGATGGTAACAGCTGGGTAAGCAGGTCTAAGAAGGATTTTGAAAGAAGTCACAGATGATATGTGTAGACATCTCTTTTGGAGAGTTTTGCTGAAAAAGGAGCAAAGGAATGAAGCAAAGGCTGACATGGGAAACAGGGTCAAGTGGAAGATTTTTATGAGGTTGAAGAAATAATGTGTGCTATTGTGAAGGATCCAGGGAAACAGGAGAAATGATGATATCAGAGAAAGCCAAATTTTTGGAGCAATTACCTTGAATAGGCTTGAGGGGGTGGCCTCTCCCTTTATTGTATTTACTGTATCTTTCTTATAAAAGATAGGATTTTATTTATATCCACTGTTTAACACCTTGCATTTTCCACTTAACAATCTATGAATATTCTTTTCACATCAGTACATGGAGAAATTCTTCTCTTTTTTTACAGTTGCATACTATCCCATTGGAAGGATATACCATAGTTTGTGTGTTGTTTCTAAGTTTTTGATGTCCTAAACAATGCTACTCTTATTAAGTGTGTATATGCCTTATCACATCCTTACTTTGTGGCTCAGCTGGTAAGGAATCCGCCTGCAATGCGGGAGACCTGGGTTCGATTCCTGGGTTGGGAAGATTCCCCTGGAGAAGGGAAAGGCTACCCACTCCAGTATTCTGGCCTGGAGAATTTCATGGACTGTATAGTCCATGGGTCACAAAGAGTCAGACACGACTGAACGACTTTCACTTTCACTTTTTCACTTATCACACGTGTGTCAGCCTTGTTGCTGCTTCAGTACAGGAGCTAAAGTTCATATTCTGCAGCTCTCTGCATTTCTAATCTGTGACTCTTTCTTCTTTCTTTTGAATTTCCTGACCTTTTAAAATTAACTCTGTATTCAACTTACTTGAATTTGTAACACTTAAATGTTTTTCAATAGATAAATATAATAGCTCTTCATTTATTTCTGATAGTTGTGTTAGGTCAAAATAATTGTTCAGTTACATGTAGGGACTTTATGAAAACAGATGTCATATAAGGTCAATAATTACATTTGATTTGGGATATTTAGTTATGGTGACAAAATATTGTCCACTGGGATTCAGAGGTGTTTTCCAAATCTTTTCTTAGGAATATTGTTAGAGATTGTCCTTATTCCCATGTTCTGGAGGATCCTATATCCTCAACCACCAACTCCCCTCCTTCACCCGTTAGTTTTTGTGTATTTGGAAATGACACCTTGTGTTATGTCTTGGACAGTTGCCACTTGTAACTACTAATAGTTGTTCAGTGTTTCCTGATACTATTATTGGTATTTCTTTCCCTAGATCTTTGGAAACACCAAGTCATGGAAGAAAACTTTTCAATTATCAGGCCGCAAATAGTTGAAAATTTTGTACAGAGATTATTGGAGAACTACCAGGATGGTGGATTAGAGGTATGAGGTAAAAATTGGTCATTCTAGAGTGTCATTTGCTTTTTTTAAAAAACAAACCCAAATGAGAAAGACTTTCTCTTCAGTACATCTCCTAATGCTTCCCTTTCTCCCCTAAAGTGAAGATATGAGAACTGAGCCTGAACTCAAAGTAGAAATCACATGTTACTATTTTAATTTTGGAAAAAGACTGATTTTTAACTAAGATGGGAGAGTAATTATAATATGCATTTTGGCTAATTTCAGATTTGGCCAATTTTTAACATAACCTTGGAGCTTATTTATGGATGAGTTATCTTTAGCAACATTTCCTGTTGTTGATTTTTTAGTATAAAAAATTTAAGAGAAAAACAAAATATCCTATGAAAACGCTGCCTAGAAAACATTTTTAAATGAACAATATGAAAAAAAAACAGCTCCAAAAGGTAGCATTTTCACGTGTCCTCCACTCCATCATCTCCAGTTTCCTCTCCCAAAGGAAGCCAGTATCAATAATTTTTATGTATTTATTGGTATTTGAATTCATAACAACTCTATATAATATGTATATAACAATAATATATAGTTAATACATACAACAGTCATACATATAGTCCTTGGAGTCTTTAACTGTTTACAATTGATAGAAAGTACCTTTCTAAATCAAAAGAATCTACTGAAAGGGCAGGATAGGAATGTATATGTAGATACTTGGCCATAACAGTTTTTAGGATCTTTAACAAATTACGCCAAAGTGCAGTAAGTAGCTATGAATCTAGTTTCCTTTGAAATTCAATCATTTTTAAAGCCTGCCTTAGCAAAATGTGCTCAGGTTTTTTAAACATTTTATCCACATTTACATTTTTCTAAGCTCTTCAAATATTCTCCATAATTTTATAATAAGCATTTCAGTTCTTACTTGTAGAGAATTCACAAGGTTGGTTAGAGGTACACTCTTCCTCAGAATTCACATGTGATTTACATGTATTTGCTTTAAGCTTTCAGTTATACCCAATGTAACACTATGTATTCTGATGAGGGGGTAAAGTGTTTCCTCCTGGGTCCCTGCAGGTCAGTGGTTCTCAATCAGAGATACAGAGGTGATTAAGGTGGGGCATGTGCAGAAAAATGTTTGAATCAAAAAATTTTATGACTTTCCTTAAAGGGAAGGAAATTCTTACACATGCTTCATTATGGGAAACATTCTATTAAGTGAAATAACCCAATCACAGAAACGTAAATGCTGTGTGATTCCATTTATGCAAGGTATCTAATGTAGTCAGATTCAAAGAGACAGAAAGTAGAATGGTATTTGTCAACATATAGTCTTTCAGTTTTGCAACATGGAAAGAATTCTAGAGATTGATCACACAACGGTGTGAATATATTTAATGCCACTGAACTGTACACCTAAAAATGGCTAAAACGGCAAATCTCATGTATATTTTACCATGACAAAAGCAAAAAAAAGTTTGTGGCTTAAGATCTGCTTGTCCTTTATCTATATACATCACCCCAACATTGAAGACAGGATCTTCTAGGAAAGAAATATGGGTGTTATTAACATCATGCACAACTGAAACTCAGGGTGCACTGATGAGGCTGGTATCAGTTGACGGTTGTCCAGGATGTTAGGTCTCTCCAAAATCTGTGCCTGGTGGGCCTCAAGACTCTTCTGGATCATCTGTAGTGACAGGGAGTGTCTCTTTCAGTACCCCCCACCCCCACGATGCCGTCCATTCCTGGCAGCTCCTGTTTCTGGCAGCTCTTACTGAGCTGAATTTGGCCTCCCCACCATCTCCACCATGGATCCTAGTTCTTGTCCTTGGGACACCACAAATCATGGTTCTAACCCGTCACAACAAGCCTTTAAATATCTGAGGGCAAGTCAGTCAGAGAAGCTCAGTCGCTGCCATTGCTAGCATGTGTGAATCTTCTGTAAAATTACAAGTGGGATGGGCTCCAGGAGGACACACCCAAACAGGTGTTTCTCCGGGTGGCGGGTAACAAATTGTCACCCCTTCCTCTGGGCAGTGCAGCCTATACCAGGGACACAGACGTGGAAATGAAGGAGGCATCATGGTCACCTGGCCTGGGTGCCCCTGTGCAGAGCAGACCACACTAGTGTGCAAGGAAAATCCAAGCCCCGCCTTCCTTTCTTCAGACCACACCAGCCTCCTATCCTACAGTCCCTCTATAGGCGCGCCCCACCCTCCTGGTCAGGCTCCTCTAATTTCATGGTTGTCTGACCAGCCTAGAGTGCCTTTGTCCTGGGTGCTGTGCTTTGATAGCGCCCATGAGTGTGTTGGATTTTGTCATAGCTGACTCATTAGGCTAATAGCCACCTGAAGCCCACACAAGGCCTTCAGGCATCCTGCTGCTGCCACATTATTAGTCCTGTTCTTTTTCAGCCTGGCTCACTCTTTGAACCTCTCGAAATCTTTAAAAATCTGGATTTATCATCTAGCATACTCTGTCACCCTCCCGGGTTCACATCAGCTTACCCTTGGTATCCTCATTCAAGCTTTTAATAACAATGTATGACAGATGGGTCCCAATGCAGGGCTACCCACCCTGGGTCCCCTCCACACCAAACAGTTGCTTTGGGCACAGCCTTGCACTGACCAGAAGCTCATTTGTTTGTCCTGTCACTCAGTTCATGTTCTCCATTTGTCCAAAAGGACATCATGAGAAACCTTCTCAGATGTCCTGCTGAAACCCAGATAGATTGCATCTGCTGTATTTCCTCAGGGAAAAGATTAATCTGATCTGACTATTCTTGAACCCGTGTTAGTATCTCATGATTTTTGCTTCCTTCTCCAAATTCTAGAACACCAGACTTTCACAATCAGTTCTAATATATTGGCCAAATTTTATACCAAACTCCCTGGCCTGAAGTTAGAGACTGACCTTTTTTGGAAATCAGAACTGAGATAGTCTATTTTGTGGATTTCAGAGCCATTTTCATTCACATGCTGAAAGTCATTCCCTCATTCAGCAAGTATTTATGGATCTCCTTTTTTTTTCAAGCACTTTATTATAGATATAAATGTAAAGAGCACAGTCCTTGCCCTGAAAGAATGTATAGAAAAAGTTAGGTGAACCAATGATGTCTAGAAAAGGTACTTCACATTAGGCACTTTGATAGAAGCACAAATAGGGTGCTGTGTTAGCTCAGAGAAGGGGGAACACAACCTAGCTAGGGGGAGGAGAGATGGGAAGTAGTCAGGGAAGAATTCCTGGAGGAGATATTGTTTGAGCCAAGTTATAAAGCATAAATCAGTATTTGCCAGATGAAAAAGGGCAGGGGAGGGAAGGCAGCAATCTAGGAAGGGAGTTCTAGCAGAGTTCAGAGGAGGACGTTGTAAAAATAAGTAGGGCCAGATGCTGAATGGCCTTGTGTGTAAGCCTTATGAGTTTGGATTTCATCCCAGAGTCAGTGGGAAGTCACTGAAGCGTTTTGTCAGCAGAGGTAGGTTTTAGAAATATCATCAAAACGCCGTGTGTGTGCCTGATGTTAGATGGATTGCTATGAGAAGCACAGTTTGTTCCAGCAGGGTTATACTTTTGCCATAACAAGGCCTGGCACCTGCCATCCTTCACCCAGGCTGGGTCTCCAGAAGAATCCATGGGACACTGTGATGCTCTTCCAGCTGGTGCCATCCGACACAGTTCAGGTTTAAGTGTTGGTGACACCTGGAGGGCACCAGGCCAATGGTCATCACTCTGGTTCTTATGGAACCCAGGGGCCTACCTTGGAGGGGAAGTTGGCAGATGAAGGCCCTTGGTGCTGCACTTTGACACTGAGCTGACTCTTAGTGGCCAAGGAAGGCAGGGATGAGTTGCAGAACAACTTTTGAGAAGCAAATTTCTCTGAGACCTCATAGAAGGACTGTGCCAAGAGAAGCACGTAGGCTCCAGCCCCACAATAGATGTTTCTCTGGCGGCTCCACTGCTGCTCGGGGGGGGCGGGCACCGTCTGTAGAAGCAAAGGTCATATGCAGAGAGGGACTGCCAGGAACTGGGCGTCTCCCTGCACCTCTCGGTCACCTGTCAGCCATGGCTGCCTGTCTGCCCCACTCAGACATGGTCCACATTCCAAGTGCCCACTGCAGATGTGCTGGCGGGGCCCTTATGCCTCTCCCTGCCCGCACACTCACCCTCTGTCTGCCATCCCCTTGAGCTGATCTTTCAGCCCAGGCTCCTAAGGCCTTAGTTGAGCCACTGCAGGGAAGGAAGCAACACAATTTCTCTGGCCTCTGGAGATGCTCTGGGGAGTCCTGGCCATTCTCACTTCTTTGGTATAACACGGACTCACCCAAGGCTTCCGTAACCTGGGCTGGTTCAAATAGCATGCTGGCTAAGAGAGGATGGCAGAGGGCCACGGTGGTTCGAGCCTGCGTTTCTGTTTGTTTGGGATCCTTTATCTGCAGTGGTTATGGAGGGTTAGCTGGAGAAGTGTGCCCTGCTGAAGAGCCGTGGAGGCCCTGTTGGCACACTGGCACTGCTGCCCAGGGCAGCGAGGGGTGAGTCAACTGTGGCTGACTCCAAGCACTGGGCCCCACCCCTCTGGCTGAGGTCACTGGCCACACCCTGCTGGCCTCCAGTGCAGTCTCATGACTTCTCAAGTCTTCAGGCTTTCATTGTACTCGGTCCGAGAAGTATTTCCTCTGTGGATGCTAATCCACGTAGCCTTGGCCCTGTCACCATAAAGAAGACGAGGTCCAGGGGATGGAATCTTGGTATCCTTTGCCTTGGAGGCAGCAGCTGACTCTGGCTGTCCTACTGCTTACTTGCCAGGGGCAGGATGAATTGTCCTCACCCCCCTCCACTGAGGGACCCCCTTGAGGAGGCCCTGGAGAGTGAGGGAGGGAAGCTGAGCACCACCCCTGACTGCCTGGCTTCAGCTCATAAAACCTTCTAAGACATTCCATTCTGCGTGTCTTGAGTGCATTCCTGCCAAGTTGCTGCAGTTGATAACTTTTACCAAAGCTTCGCTATTTTTTAATTAGTGTATATGTTTTATTAATACATATATTTTATATCTAATTATTTTAATTATATATACATTTTGTGAGTATATTAGAAAATAGAAATGTGTATTAGAAAACACACTCATTAGCTTGCCCTCATTGATAACCACTATTGTTATTTTGGTGACTTTCCTTCCAAGCTTTATTTGTAGCTTTTTAGAATTCATGTACTTTTTAAACAAAATAAGATTATTCTATCTGCCTTTCTGTTATGGTGTACTTGACTATATGTTATAAATATGTTTCGTTGTCAACAAACATACATCCACATCACAGTTTTTGGTGGCTGTTTAGTATTTCCCTGTATAGATGAATGAGCAGATTCAACCTGTTTTCCATTATTAAGCACTTTAGGTTGTTTCCAATTTTCTTTTCTGTTGGAAGGACTACTATAAAGAACATCTGTTAACATATATTTTTGTGTATAACTTTTATCATTCTCTAAAGATAAATTTCTAGAAGAGGGATTGCTAGGTCAAAGAGCATGAATATTTTAAAATCTTTTTATAGATGCTGCTAGTCCACCCTCCAGAATACCTTGCTGATTTCCCCTCCCATCAGCAGTGATGAGCAAACCATTTTTCTTACTCCATCAGTACTGGGTTTTATCACTATGTGCCACCTCTGTTAATTTGCCTCAACAACTCAGTTGGCAAAGCCTGTCTCTGCTCTCTCTGAAGGTCAACGGCATGGAGGTTGCACTGATGGGACGGTGTCACCAGGATAATCAAATCAGAGCCAGGGGGACCACCCCAGGCTGGAAGGGAACCTAGTTTCTACAGCAGACTTCCAGGGAGCCTAGAGCTGTCCTGACACTGGAGGTGTCATAGGTAGTCACTGCATCAAGTGAGCAGGCTGAATCTTGGAGTGGGCCCCACACACATGGACACACTTACTGATACATGTAGAGAGACACATAGAGACCTATACGCAGAAACCTATACGCAGACCTATACCTATGGAAACATATGCAGAGAGGCACAGACACACACAGACATGCACTTGTGAATACAGACACACATACAGATGGACACAGCACACTGGCTGATACAGACATGCAGAGACACGCCAGCCCTCCCGTGGACATGCAGGTGCTGGTATGGTAGATCTGCCCTACTGCCCACATATTGGCTCCCATTTCTCTTGGAACCTAAAACTAAGTCTGCCCTGGAGGGGTAGGCTTTTCCTCTGTTCCTTAATGGCCATTTCTTCAAAAAGGTGTTGAAAGGGAAGAAATGGGACAGCCTAGAGAGTGAGCACTATGGCCCTTTGACCAAGGCAAGAGGAGCCCCTGTCAGATGCCCCACTTCAGAGGCCCCTCTGGCTCTGCTCCAGCTCCACTGTTCCCCACAGGAAATCCTCACTGCCAAGGGGATGCACCCACTCAGATCCCTGGCTTCCCTTCTGGACCATGCTCCAGACACCTGGGGCCCTGGGATTCCATGAATCCAGGGCCTTGTTCCCAGATCATCCTCCCCAGAGAGAGAGTGGACCTCACCACCTGTGTGCACACTCTGGCCTGTGGTGTAGACGAGAACAGCTATGCAAGGGCAGGGACAGCTGGGGTGTCTGCTTACACATATACAACCCTCCCCCCAACCAGTCCCACCATGTGATGTGAGGGCAAAGGTAGAGAGCAAGAGGGTCAAACTGTAAACTATGCATTGGGGCCTACTTCTCCCCCAAGTAACCATATCTCAGCACTGAACTCAGAGTTGTCCAAGAATGATAAAATCAAACCTGGTCTCCCAAGTCATTTGAAGGTCTGTTTGTCAAAGTGGAAGAATTAAACATTTTCAGTTTAATAGTTAGTTTGGTTTATAACCATTAAATATTTAAGACACTAAGACATCCGGAATGTGAGCCTCCATCTGTATTTTTTTTTAATTGAAGAATAATTGCTTTACAGTATTGTGTTGGTTTCTACCAAACATCAACAGGAATCAGCCATAGGTTTACCTATGTCCCATCCCACTTGAACATCCCTCCCACCTCCCTCCCCATCCCAACCCTCGAGGTTGTTACTGAGCCCCGGTTTGTGTCTCCTGAGTCATACAGCTAATTCCCATTGGCTATCTATCTTACATATGGTAATGTATGTTTCCGTGTTACTCTCCATACATCCCACCCTCTCCTTCCCTCCCCCAACCCAGCCATGTCCATAAGTCTGTTCTTTATGTCTCATTTGTACTCTTATCCTTGACCCTGCGGATGTTAGGCCCAGACCTGAAAGAGAAGCTTGCAAGGCTGACGCCAATGTTTTCCTATGGAGGATGAATGGACGTGGGTCTGTGAGCCAAAGCATCGTGTGCCGTGAGCACTCGTGTGGTGGCGCTGCCCTGGGGTAGCAGTTCTGAGTGATGCCCCTTCCCTTTCAGGTCACGTTCAGGAAAGACCACCTTGAGGCCTGCCTCCTTTCCCTGGGTTGTGATGTGATGGCCAGAGAACGCAGCAACTTCGAGAGCTACTCCATGTGTTACGAGCATATATTGGAGCATGTTAGACAGAAGCTCTGCCAGAAGGAGCAAGTATGTTCCCAGACAGATGAAAAATACACCGGGGAAGGTGTGGGTAGGGAGGCCCATGAGTGACTCCACAATGCAAGAGGTGTTCTTAATGTAAGAATTGAGGGTAAATGGTACTCTCCAAATTTCTTTTCTTATTGGCTTATTTCCTTGGGCTCTGGTCTTTTCAGTTGGGATGGTGATGGCCCCAGCAGCACTGGGTTGTATGCTTTGGAGGCTTCTAATGGGGAATATAAGAGGTGAACAACAAGGCAGCCGGCCCTTTGGAGAAGATCCTCAGCTGACCTTCCCACTCTCAGCAAACACAGGGAACTTTGTGCTGTTCCTGGTCCAGCAAGAAGCCAGGATCCCTGAGTAAACTGTCTTCAGGATGGGCATCGTGGGTCTCACTGATGAGACCATCTTAAAATGAGATCCTATCCCAAAGTGCAGTGGGGAAACAATTGCAGTCCTGGCTCCAGTTGGAGCTTGCGAATCTCAAAACGAAGCACCAGTAACACAGATAAGAGAAGTCTGGAGCATGTTGTACTGAATAAATGTTTGAGTTCGGCGGTGCACTGTTTTTTCCTCTTCAGGAATTAGACATTATACGAAGAGGTCAAAGTCCACCTGAAGACAAGGCTGGTCAGGTAGGCCAGTTATTACTCTAAAAGCTTTCTTCTCCATTTTTCAAATCCACAGTCTCATCAGTAGTGAGACATGGGACATGCTGCTCTCATCTTCTTGTGCCTCTTCCTGTAGAAATCCCATCAATGACTGGTCCCCTGCAGAGACATCCAAAGAGCGTGTTTGTACTTTTTAAGCAATGAGACTTTTTTCCCTTAGTTTTTTTGGTGACTCTTGTTATTTTTTATTGTTTTGTTTTTTCTTTTTATTGTTATTGGTTGTGGGGGGTGGTGTTTTCTTCTCAGGTCAGCATGCCATCTGAGGAAAAGGTAGTTAGGCTAAGGTGTCAAGGGAAGGCCAGTTTGGAAATGGAAGCCAAGACAGTTGAAGTATTTTCTCCACATGAAAAGTGCCTAAGTAGCATTTCTTCTGAGTTCATTCATTCATCAACCATTTATTGAGCACCTACTATGTGTCTGGGACTGTTCTGGGACCCTTAAATCTTCCTTAGCTTCTTCTGCCTGTACTTGCACAACAAGATATTCACTTTCTTCATTGGGCCCAAAGCAGAATGCCAATTCAACATTGATATACAAAGAACTCTTTCTGCAGTGGCTATTTGGAATTCCCGAGTTATTTCCCATTAAGAAAAAAATATTTCTGCCACTAGGTTGCAGAACTCAGTCATAATATGATCATGGAAATCACTGTCCTGAGAGCCCGACTCACGGATTTGGAGGAGGAGAATCTAAATCTCAAAAAGCAAATTAGAAAAGAGGTCCAAGAAGAATATGAAGCGTTAGTCCAAGCTTTGTTTGTGACATGTTTGCACATCAAAGTAAGTGACCTGGGTGGGATGTCTGGACAGTCCCATGGAGACCCAGGTGTACCTGACTTCCATGGTGGCTATACAGAGGGGTCAATAACAGAGTGGGCTTTGTGACAAGAGATTGTTGGGTCCAAGAATGCTCCAGCTCTAGGCTCTCACTGAAGAAAGTGAGTCAGAGATGGGAGGTCATTATTTTACCAAAAGAGACACTGAATTTTAAATAATTTAGATATTTGCTATTTTCCTCACTCTACTGCATTGTTACCATCTGGTTGCTGTTGAGGCAAGGGGGAGTTCTTCTTCTAAACCCCAACAGTTTTATGTTACTCTTTTGTCTACTGAATGACCATCTAAAACAGGAGAGGGCAGTGCCCTGGGCCAGGCCAAGCCCCAATGTAGGTAGCAACAGCTACCTCCTAGAAGCTCACTGAGCAGATTCAGAATTTGAATCAGCTTTTGAAAATTTTACAACCCTCAAAACTCCCACTAGCTGGGCATATACAGTGTCAGGGAACTGTTGACCTGTCGGTAAAGGTCCACTCAGAAGAGGAATGATGGGTGCACATGTGCCCACAGGACCGTGGAAGCCTGTCACTGTCTTATGACTTCTGAGCAGCTGTAAGATGGAGACCCATGCCTAAAACAGGTCATTATTGAGCCTGGTCCAGCTGCCCCACAAGTGAGAATTTCAGTACAGCCATACCTCCCCCAAATCTGCCCCCTTCCCTGCTATCAGATGTTCCCCAGAGCTAGCCGCATGTGGGTCCTTCCATTACTCCCTCCTCCCAGGGGATTCCAGGGTGGTTCCTGGACTTGTTCCACTGAGAGGAGTTTCCACTGAGCCTCTCTGCCTTTATCTGGTTATTCCAGAGAGGACTGAACATTGCTTCTTGCTGTGACGTGTCCATAAAGTGCTTACAAATATTAAGGGATCCAAACCAACTTGCATTGGGCATGGCACTGCAGCGACGTGTAAGCAGACAGTGAAGTCTAGAATTTACTAAGCCATCTTTCAGGTGTGAAATTGTTTAAAAAATTTCTTAGGTTCTTTTTAGCTTCTGTCAGATTCCAAGACAAGAAATTCTTTACTTGTCTCAGGCTCAAATAGTTGCACAAGCCCCTGGAGGTAAGGAATCCTGTTTTACCCCAGGGTCCCAAGAAGGTGGTGAAGCTTTTGCTGTGTGGTCACTAGCCAAGCTTTCTGCTGTGTCTCTCTGGCTCCTGTTTCCCCTCCAGGGAAGTGGTTCAGAGGTGACAGGACACCCCACAGTCACTCCTTACCCAAGGATGCTGGGTCTTCAAGTTGTACTAAGCAGTGAGCAAGCTGTTTCACCATAAGCTGTTAGCCACAGCCACTCAGAATGAACGGGCTGTTTGATAATGAGATTTCTGCTGGAGCCTAGAGGGGAAGGCAGCCGGCCTGATTCCTCCCTCTAATGTGTATATTTTAATGGAGTTCCTTGTTAGTGGCTCATGGAAAGTGTCTTATCTGCTCAGATTCTGCTGAGTAAACCTCATAGCAAAAATCCCTAGGTTCAAATTCCCAAGTAACCCTTTGTGTGTGTTTCTGGTGAGGGGGAATGGGAGGGTGATTTGCTTTTCCACTTGTGACATCCCATTCTTCTGCCTCCTTGGCGTCTGACAACCACAGGCTCTAAGATGTGCAGATGATGAAGCCCTGCAGATTGAGGACACATTAAAGGACTAAAGGGGCCACAAGTGACACTTTCAGACAATACCCGATGGAGTAATTGTTTGGTCAATGACGTTTTAATGTGAAATCATTCCTAAATTTGAGTTTTAGAAGGCAGAATGACTCTTCCTCAACTGCCCTTCCTAAACCTGAGTCTGCACTTTGCAGGAGAAGTTGGATGAGAATCAGCTTAATTTGATCCAGAAAGTGTGTGAGCTCATCGGCGAAGTAAGAACAGAAGGGATTGACAACATGAGAAACCTAAAGAAGAAGTGGGGCTCTGCCAGGCCTGACGAAGAAATGAAAGAAAATCCAGCCAAAGTATGTGATCTCACTTATGAGTGGGGTATCAGCACTTCATCCTAGCGTCTGACCCTGCCACTTGCTTGGGTTGCATTCCTGTTCTGTTTCCCAGAGAAAGCCTGTGTCAGGCATTTTAAAAGGGCACTGGGGCCCACTGCACAATTGTCTCATGTTTTGGAAGGCATGTTTCTGATGTTAGGATTTATGTCCTTCCTGAGAAAAGTGCTGGGGGCAGCCTTTTCTGAAATTGAGCCTTCTAAGCAGGAGCAGCTGCAGGCCTTGGAGCAGGACAACTGCGGCCTGGCCGCCCTGGTGCGCAAGCTGAGGAGCCTGGGCCATTGGAGGCTGGTGGTGCAGCAGGCACACTTCCGGGGCCAGCTGAGCAGGGCTGAGAAGGTGAGCGCCGCGGGAGGGAGGCCCCGCCCAGCCAGGGGGAAGGGTGGCACTGGCCTCCCTTGATGCAGTTGCCGCACTGGTGTCAGGTAGCAAGACCCACGGACCACCTTAAAGAATCTGACAGTTGCGGATTTCCTGGGAACTGGCAATATCAGAGCCTGGGGAGGAATGGGAAAGAGCCAGAAGCAAATGGCAAAGAAACAAATGAGAGGACAGATCAGAGAGTTTAGCACAAGGAAAGGGAAAAGATGGAGTTGGCAAACTTTGTCAAAGCACTGCAAATCTTTGGGTTTCAAACATGATTATCAGTGGGAAATGCAGTAACAGTAAGTTGAAAATCTGTTTTAAGGAAAATTGAAACCAAAGCACATATCAGAAGTGGTTTGGAAACTTTGACTTACTGTTTCCGAAAGTCTTTATTTACTCTGATCTGTCACACTGTTCTTAACTGAAATTAAGGAGGCAGTGGCCAGCGGGAGCTCTATGCTTCCAGAAATTTCAAAGAATGATGGATGATGGTTCAGAGACTGCTTGTGAAACTGAAAATGTGGAAAGGAAACTCATATCCTACCTTACTGTGTTTGGGATGTTCACAGGAAGCTGTGCAAACTAAAAAAGAGTGTTTGAACATCAAGCTAATGGCCGAACAAGAGGTAGTTTTATTTCGTCAGCAGCTATTGGCTCTAAGGCAGGCCCTGGCTAGGGCTCAGGCGGACAATGTGAAGATGTGCAGGCAGCAGGAGAATCAGGTATCTGATCTTAGAACCCCTCTTCCTCCCTCTCTGTCAACACATTCTGGCCAGGGGACAGGGCACTGAGCTGCCTGTAGCAGTTACCAGAGTGCCGCAGTGTGAAGCTGAGCGGACGGCGCTGCTGGGGAAAGAGGGCCTGCACCCCAGCTTCCCTTCTCCCTCCTTTCCAGCCCAGAGATCAGGGGCAGTGGCCAAAAGGCTTTTGTTGTTATTCATATTTGGCTAAAATGGTGAAGTACTGCTCATATCTAAGATTGATCGCTCTCTCTCTCTCTCTGTCTGTGTTTCTCTGAGTATTCTTTTAACCCAGAGAGCATCTGGGGGTCTGAATCTCTGCCTCTGACACCTTCCTTTCATGCTCCAAGAATGTTTTCTATGGGTGTGGTCCAGCCATCAGCATTATGCCCCAAGCAGAGAGTCTTGGTTCCTTTCCTGGTGACCTACACTAAATCTTAATTTCAGACGTTACTGCTGCTCTGAAGAACTGGCACCAAAATAAAGGCTTTTTAAAATCTAAGCTCTTAATAACTGTGCCAACCATCTGAGCATAAATGAAGCAGAGAACTTAGGTTTAGAGAGACAACAGCTGAGTTTAAATAACAGCCTAGGAAACAGCTTGGGTGTATTTTAAGACATAAAATATAATCTGTTCCTTTTGGACCCTAATTCCTCCATTATGGTGTGCCAGTGAGCTATGATGTATAATTATGTGAGGTCACCCTACAAATATTAATCCTCATTATTAACATAATATTATAAGTAAGGATCAACCTTCTGGTAACTGTTGATTAGAAAAATTTCAGAACAGAACCAAATTATTACTGCTCTTTTCAACCATCTGCAACCTGGCTTTTCCCAGACTTTTCTAGAAGTCAAAACAGAGGCAAGATTAGTGCCTCCTTTGCCCATTCTCTGTACGTATTGCATCACCCCGTTCTCCCCAGGTCTAGCCCTTCCATTGCTATCACATGATAAAGGTGTAGTGACACGCAGATGCAGTCTGTAGTAGGTATGACTGTTTGGTCTTGCTGCTGGTTGGCACAAGACAGGACAGAATGGCTGGGAGGTAGTACCTGAACCCAAGAACATGTCACACGATTCTGCCCCTGGGTTTTAATTGACGGGACAGTCGTGTTGGCCAACGTGTCATTCCCTCTGCTGAGAAAGACCGTGTGCCTTTCTTGTTTCCTTTGGCTGTTACCTGCCGCAGGCACAATTGCTGAAAGAGTTAGAAAATAGAGTGACCCAGGAAGCTCTCCACAGGCAGCAGCTGGATTTAATGAAAGCCTCCAGCATGGAGAAGCTCTTAAAGGATGTGGAGCAAAAGGAACAGCACCTGCAGCTCGTTACTGAAGATGCCAAGAGGGCTTTTAAACTGGGCCAGCTGCAGCAGAAGAAAATTCAGAGAGAACTCCGACAGGTAACTCCAGTGAGAGGTAGCAAGTCAGGGCGCACCAGCCAGAGTGGTTTCCTTCTTCCTCTCCACACCTCTCTTGCCTCCACAGCAGTGTTCCTTACCTTGGTCACTCCCAGGAATAGCAGGGAAATGGAAATATCTATACCTGGTGAATGTTCAGGCTGCTTGGGAGCAAAGATGATGGCTTGAGTGCCATGAGGCCCAGAATCTTGGCATCTTTGTCACCCACTTGGAAAGCATATTTCCCCACATGGCTCTAATCTTTGAGCTAGGAGGGATCTTTAGAAAATCCTGACAAGTAATCTGGAAAAGCAGCAAGTATTACTGTAAGGGAATTTTATTCATGGTGTTTCTGGAATTGTAGAAATAAAAAAGGAAAGGCTGAAATGGTTTCCAGACCCAGTATGTTTTTCAATATACCCCACAGCAAAAAAAAGGAAATAATGTACATGTGGACTAATGCAAGTTCCAACAAAGGAGACCACAGAATGAAATTCAACACAAAAGGAGAAATAAAAAAACCAAAACAGCACTTTCTGGGGCAGGTGTTTCACACATATTCATTGAACAAATAGGTCAATTAATTCCCCAGATATATTAGGAAACAGAAATCAGGTTAAATGAAGGAAGTCAGTAAGGGGAATTTTACAAAATAAATGACCAAAAAAGGATTAAAAAATGTAACCTCTCACAGTTCAGGAGGCCAGAGTCTGAAATCAAGGTGTGGGTCCCTCCAGGCGGCTCAGGCAGAACCTGCTCCATGGCTCCCCTGGCTGCTGGCGGCTGCCCACAGTCCCCGGTGTCCCTCCACAGGCAGCTGCAGCTCTCCATCCGGCCTTCTTCCCTAAATCTGTGTGTGCGTTTGTGCTCGCTCCACTGTTTATGAATTCATCAGCATTCGATTTAGGGCCCTCCCTTTAATCCAGTATGACTTCATCTTAATCACGTCTACAAAAACTATTTTCAAATAAGGTAACATTTTGAGGTTCCAGGTGTCCATGACTTGGTGGGAGACACTATTCAACCTGTTACACTATTACTTTTTCATAATTAAAAACAATTAGGAGATGATAAGAAATAAATTTAAAAAGAAAAAAATGCCTGTGATCTATGCAGATGAGTCACTTTGGACATAGAGACTCTGACCAATGGACTCTGGGTCAGGGGTGCAAGGGGAGAGCAAACATGAAGTTGTCTTCTGGATGTGGGCCTTGTGTCAGGCCTGGAGATGGTGCTCAGTGCATTCCTGCAGATGATTAGTTGAACTTAGAGGTCTGGGAGAGAAATCAAATCTTTGCTTGAAGCCATCAGGGGTCCCACAGGCACTGGGGCTTGGCCTACAAGGTCCTCTGTGAACTGGTTCCTCTCCCCTCCCTGCTTGTCCTCTGATAAAAGATAACTTTTGTGAGTAAACTTCTATTGTAAGGGGATAAAGTGTTCCAAGGGCTGCCTCTGTTCCTCACTGATTAAGTTCTTGACGTCCCTGGTGCTGCTGATTTTCATAAGGCTCAGTTGAGCCTGACCAGGAATTTTTTTATATTCCTGGGATAGCTTTGGTCTCACACTCTCCCTGGCAATCCCCCTACCCCACCCTTCACAGTGAACTGATGGAATAGTTCTGCTTCCCAAAAGCATTTCTGCTTCTCAAGCACTTTTCCACTCAGGTGAGAAGCCGGCTTGCCCATGAGCGTAGTGTGAAGCTGGATGCTTTCCAGTGGGTAGAAGAGCTACAAAGTCAGCTTAATGATGTTGAGCAATCCTCCACCCAAAGGAACTCACCTGGAGGTAAGGATACCCTCTCTCTGGGTAGAATAAGCTCCCAGGGTCTTGGGTGGGGATTGAAAGAGGGTCCTGGGGACTAATGATAACAATCCAGTGGCTATAAAGGAAGTGCTTCATATTTGTTGAATGAATGAATGAAACTTTATTCTCATTTGCAGTTAGAACTTTCTATTTTAATTCACCTTGGGAGTATTGATATTCTGTATTAAAAGGTTTCAATCATAAAAACTAGTTCAAGTTGAAATATGTCACCTAAAGAAGACTAGTACATCACTAGATTTTGAAGCAAGCTAACACCTTAGGAGAATAGAGGAGTAGAATTTGCCATCCTAATGTGTCTCTTTGGCATAAAGTTTTAAGCTGATTATTTTTGAGAAAAAGCAGACATGGGAAGGGAGTTTCACTTTTGTAAGAAAAGTTTAGAGTTTTAAGAGCATCTCTTTTTTTTCAGTACAAGGAAGAGAAGGATGACCAAATCTCTAGAAGTTTATGGAAAAGACAAATCTGTGTAACAATGTTACCCTTATTTATTGTGCTTTTCCTGGTAACCTCTCATAACTGACTTTTCCCCATCCTCAACATCCTCTTCTGTCTTTAGCTGAGGATGGCATTTAAATTGAGAGCTTCAGGAATGCTGCCAAATTACTCAGTTTTCCTAGGCCTCTCCTATGTGCTTGTTGTTGTTCAGTCACTAAGTCAGGTCTGACTCTCTGTGATCCCGGGGACTGTAGCCCGCCAGGCTCCTCTGTCCTCCACTATCTCCTGAAGTTTGCTCAAATTCATGTCCGTTGAGTTGGTGATGCTATCTAACCATCTTATCCTCTGATGTCCCCTTCTCATTTTGCCTTCAATCTTTCAGAGTCTTTTCCAGTGAGTCAGCTCTTCACATCAGGTGGCCAACATTTTGAAGCTTCAGCTTCAACAATAGTCCTTTCAGTGAATATCCAGGGTTGACTTCCTTTAGGACTGACTGGTTAGAACTCCTGCAGTCTAATGGACTCTCAAGAGTCCTCCAGCACCACAAATGGAAAGCATCAGTTCTTCAGCCTCAGCCTTCTTTATGGCCCAACTCTCAAATCCATATATGACTACTGGAAAAACCATAGCTTTCACTATACAGACCTTTGTTGGCAAAGTGATGTCTCTGCTTTTTAATATGCTGTCCAGGTTTGTCATAACTTTTCTTCCAAGGAGAAAGTGTCTTTTAATTTCATGGCCGCAGTCACCATCTGCAGTGATTTTGCCCAAGAAAATAAAATCTGTCACTGCTTCCACTTTTCCCCCCCTCTATTTACCATGAAGTGATGGGTCTGGTTGTCATGATCTTAGTTTTCTGAATGTTGAGTTTTAACCTTGCTTTTTCACTCTCCTCTTTCACCCTCATCAAGAAGCTCTTTAGTTCCTCTTCACTTTCTGCCATTAGAGTGGTATCATCTGCATATCTGATGTTGTTGATATTTCTCCCAGCAATCTTGATTCCAGGTTGTGAGTCATCCAGCCTGGCATTTCTCATGATGTACTCTGCATATAAGTTAATTAAGCAGGGTGACAACATACAACATTGTTGTACTCCTTCCCAATTTTGAACCAGTCTGCTGTTCCATGACCAGTCCTAACTGTTGCTTCTTGACCTGCATGCAGGTTTCTCAGGAGACAGGCAAGGTCTCTAAGAATTTTTCCACTGTTTGTTGTAATCCACACAGTCAAAGTCTTTAGTGTGGTCAGTGAAGCAGAAATAGATGTTTTCTGGAACTTCCTTGCTTTCTCCATGATCCAACGAATGTTGGCGAATAAACTGTTGTGTTATTTTCTCCTGTTAATCTCGTATCAATTGAGTTCTTAGACCAGCCAAAAGAACCTAGAAGGGTAAAGGAAAATTTCTTCCTTCCTGACAGGATACTAGTGACCACATTTCTCAGATGTTCTTCATAAAGTACATTATGATTCTTGGGTCTTAGGGGCTTGAGGAGTCCTATGGAAATGACAATCAAAACAGCATTCTGGACAACACAGTCAGCGAGCAGCAATGGAATGGAGGCCAGAACCTGGGATGTCTCTAAACTAGCTTCCTCTTCTGTAAGATGAGGACTAAATAAATTCCAAGTTCTCTTCTAGGTCTATCAAAAATATTACCCCATCAATAGCTACAATCAGCCTATTATTAAGGTCAGCTGGGCCTTTCCTTTCTGTTCCATAGCCCAGTCTGGTGGTTGACAATATGGACTTTGAAATAAGACAGCGAAGGTTCAAATCCTGTCTCTGTCACTGCTAGCTGTGTGACCCTGGACAGGTTAATTCACCTCTCTGTAAAATACCCACCTCAAAGATGAATTCTGAGGACTCTATGAAACAGTGGGTGTCTGCCACAGAGTGTAGTAACACTAGGTCATTGTGCAAATGTTTGTTATTATACTTTCATACATGTGTGTCCTCCTTTATCTGTGTTTTCTTTTGGCCACTTACAGTGGTGTGAATGATGTGAGCAAACACTGTCAGAAGCAGAAGGATCATTTTCAAAGGTCAAGATAGTTTAGGTTTTCTAAGAAAAAGGCTGGACTTGTTGGTAAAGCCCAAGGATACCCCCTCCCTGCCCACGCCTGCGGCCTGGGCCCTAATAGTGGGACTGGCGTCCCCCACCCAAGCCCAGATCCAAAGACGAAGAGTGTCAAGGGCCCTATTTTGACCAATCACCCTGAGTGATTCTGTACCTTCCACTATCCTCTACAGACTCCCTGGGGTTTTCTGTTTCTCCCTTTCCCCTCTGCCTCCATATGCCTCCAGCCTAGCCAAATATCTTTTAAATCCTTCTCCGAGTTAACACATCCAATCAAACTGCCATCTGTGCCCTTTAAGACCTGCACATTTACAAAGGAGGAACAGGTCAGGCAGGAGGCACATGGGGAGAACCCTAATTACCAGCATAGGAGTGCAGCAGGAATGAAAGAGAAGCCTCTTTTTCAGGAAGCAGAGGTAGAAGTTACTCGCTGGTCTCAGCCCCCATCTGTCCCCTTCTGCAGTGATGGGAGGGGGTTTGCTCAGGACTTTCTACACGTTGTCTATTGAGGAAGAAATGCACCACCTAAGAGTTGTGATTAAGGTTTATTTGGGGAGCTTACTAGAGTTTTTGCTGAAAAAAAAATCATGTATTTGAACATCATAACATTACTGCTAATCACAAAAAAACAAGTTAATGATTTTAGTGTTTATGTATGGGAAGATGCAAGAATCTTATTAATAACTGAGTAGTCTTTCATTGTATGTATATACATATACATATACATCTTCTTTATCCACTCATCTCTTGATGAGCACTTAGATTACCTTCATGTCTTGGCTGTTGTAAATACTGCTGCTATGCTATCTTTTTAAATTATAGTTTTCTCTGTGTATATGCCCAGGAGTGGAATTGCTGGATCATATGGCAACTATTTTTAGCTTTTCAAGGATCCTCCATACTGTTTCCCATAGTGTCTGTACCAATTTACATTTCCATCAATAGTGTAGGAGGGTTCTCTTTTCTCCATACCCTCTCCAGCATTTATTATTTATAGAGTTTTTGACGGTGGCCATTCTGACTAGTATAATACCTCTGTAATTTTGATTTGTATTTCTCTAATAATTAGCAATGTTGAGTATCTTTTCATGTATTTGTTGGTCATCTGCGTGTCTTTGGAGAAATGTCTATTTAGGTCTTCTGCCCATTTTTTTATTGGGTTGGTTTTTTGTCATTGAGTGTATGAGCTTTTTGTATATTTTGGAAATTAAGCCCTTCCTTGTCAATCATATCCATTTGCAAATATTTTCTCTCAGTTTGTAGGTTATCTGTTTTATGGTTTCTTTTTCTATGCAAAAACTTAAAGTTTGATTAGGTTCTATTGGTTTATTTTTATTTCTATTGCCTTGGAAGACTGACCTAAGAAAACATTGCTACAATTTCGGAGAATGATTGACTATGTTCTCTTCTGGGAGTTTTATGGTGTCATGTCTTATATTTAAATCTTTAAGCCATTTTATTTTTGTGTTCGGTGTGAGGGAATGTTCTAGTAACTTCATTGATTTGCATGTAGCTGTCCAGCTCTCCCACCACCACTTTCTGAAAAGATTCTCTTTTCTCCAATGTATATTCTTGCCTCCCTTGTCAAAGATTAACTGAGTATGGATGCATGAGTCTATTCCTGGGCTCTATTCTGTTCCACTGATTCATGTGGGCTTGATCAAGGCTTGTTTCTTGAGGACTGACTTCTCTCTGCGTCTCTGGGCCCTGAGCATGCTGGGAGCAAACAGGAAGTAGAGCCCCTGGGGAGGCAAGATGTCTGCCGCCTCTGTAGCGTCCACCCTCCGTTCAGGCTCACGTGGCGGGAGTGCGGGAGGGGCCCTCCTTCAGGCTCACGTGGCGGGAGTGGGGGAGGGGCCCTCCGTTCAGGCTCACGTGGCGGGAGTGCGGGAGGGGCCCTCCGTTCAGGCTCACGTGGCGGGAGTGCGGGAGGGGCCCTCCGTTCAGGCTCACGTGGCGGGAGTGCGGGAGGGGCCCTCCGTTCAGGCTCACGTGGCGGGAGTGCGGGAGGGGCCCTCCGTTCAGGCTCACGTGGCGGGAGTGCGGGACGGGCCCTCCATTCAGGCTCACGTGGCGGGAGTGCGGGAGGGGCCCTCCTTCAGGCTCACGTGGCGGGAGTGCGGGAGGGGCCCTCCTTCAGGCTCACGTGGCGGGAGTGCGGGAGGGGCCCGCCTCCTTCAGGCTCACGTGGCGGGAGTGCGGGAGGGGCCCTCCGTTCAGGCTCACGTGGCGGGAGTGCGGGAGGGGCCCTCCTTCAGGCTCACGTGGCGGGAGTGGGGAAGGGGCCCTCCGTTCAGGCTCACGTGGCGGGAGTGCGGGAGGGGCCCTCCGTTCAGGCTCACGTGGCGGGAGTGGGGAAGGGGCCCTCCGTTCAGGCTCACGTGGCGGGAGTGCGGGAGGGGCCCTCCTTCAGGCTCACGTGGCGGGAGTGCGGGAGGGGCCCTCCGTTCAGGCTCACGTGGCGGGAGTGCGGGAGGGGCCCTCCGTTCAGGCTCACGTGGCGGGAGTGCGGGAGGGGCCCTCCGTTCAGGCTCACGTGGCGGGAGTGCGGGAGGGGCCCTCCGTTCAGGCTCACGTGGCGGGAGTGCGGGAGGGGCCCTCCGTTCAGGCTCACGTGGCGGGAGTGCGGGAGGGGCCCTCCGTTCAGGCTCACGTGGCGGGAGTGCGGGAGGGGCCCTCCGTTCAGGCTCACGTGGCGGGAGTGGGGAAGGGGCCCTCCGTTCAGGCTCACGTGGCGGGAGTGCGGGAGGGGCCCTCCGTCCAGGCTCACCTGGCGGGAGTAGGGAAGGGACTGGGCTGACTCAGGTCATGTGACCAATTTTGAACCAAGCAATGAAGCCAGAGACTGAGATGCCTGGTAGGCTTAGGCCCAGCTCACATGTTCTCCGGGAGCCGACGGAAAGGTCAGCTCACTCTCTCCTCCTCTTCACAGCAACTAGTTTCTCTTATTTATTCTTAATTGAAGTATTATTTACAGTATGTTAGCTTCAGGTATACAACATAATGATTCAGTATTTTTAGAGATTATACTTTATAAAAAGTTATTATAATACAGCAACTATTTTAAATCTCCATGGTCTCTGCCGACACTGTCCTACTCCTCCCCTATCAGATGGGAACTCCCTCTACTTCTTGTCCCTGGCCTACCTAAACCTAAGCTCAGCTGCTTCTCCTTCCTTCCTGTTAAAATGGAAAAGGTGTTCCTTTTCCTCCCTGGGACAATCACTGTGATCAGCATCCCATGGGCTTCTATCATCTCAGGGGCCTTGAGCTAATCTTTATACATTCATATTTCCGACCCATCTATCCTGACCTTGCAGTGAACAATGACTTGTTGAGCATGTATGTGCCATCAGCATAAAATCCACCATAAAATTAATATCCGATCAGTTGCTTGAGCCAGAAATCGGAAAGCTATTCTTCCTTACCCTGCAAACCTAACTAATTACCAAGTCCCATTAATGTGAATATCTCAGTCTGTCTACTTCTACCCACAGGTTCAAGTAACCCATCATCTCTTTCACTTGGTCATAGACGCTCAGGCAAAAGACACTAACTGATGAAGCTGAATCAGATACCCATTTTAAGCTCTAAAATTTTATGAATTAAACCTAGACCTGTATATTGCAGAGATATAATTTAGCATTTTTCATCTTACAGGCCTTATATCCCAAGCTCACTACTCCCTAAGTTCTGCTTCCACATCATCCAGATACACCCAGCAACACCTTTTAAAGACTCAACTCATGGGCAGCAAAATAACAAGGATTCAAAGGCCAAAGACTGTAGGTAATGATAAATTTGATTATATGAAACAATGAAAAATATAAATATGAAATCATGGATTTAGGGTCACTTCAAAATTTAAAAATTGTGTATCAAGATCTTATCTCAATGGTTGGATCTTAGAAAATAATATTCTGGGTTTCTTGCTAAGGGAATTTGTCCATGAATTATTGCTGAATCAATGTGTTCCTGTAGGAAGGAGGGTCTAGGGTTTCCTATTCTGCCAGCTTGATGGCATCACTCCTCAATAATAAAATTCTAATGCTGAAACAAGCCCAAAAGCACTTACTCAATTACAATTCAGTAAATGGGTGTGAAAGTCAGTACAACACCTGGACATGTTCTCTCAATTTTTTTTTTTCCCAATCATCTACAGTAATTAACTAGCAGTGCCACAGCCTTTGTGTTTCCTGGCAGAGCAGAAATAATTTCAGAAGTCAGCCTTAAAACATGTGAGAAATGCTTGGAATGCAGGTTAGATTGAAGTATAGCACATATTTGAAGAATTTTTCTTTAACTGTTTCACCTCTTGGTTTATGTAAGATACCATTTGAATACTCTTTCACCATCTTCTCTATGCTGCTTTAATAAGTATTACACTCTTTGCTCCATTGTTTTTCAGAATCTCCTCCAGAGAGGTATATATCTAATCAACACACTTAAGAATTCCTCTCCTCTTACCTTGAGAAAAGTTAAGAGGAAAAAATACGATCATTCTGTCAGAAAATATGCCATCCTAAGGCCTCTTTTAAAGCCAATGGTCTAGTTATTGGACCAAAAGTCTGTTGCAGTATTCCCAGACATACAGTTAAAGGGAGACACACACAGAGGGAAGAAGCAGGTCAGGAACATACCCCACTGAGAACCTTGACCAAGTAGGGCCACGTCATCAATTCCTGCCTTTGGCTTGACCCACCAATCTCTGTGCAGTCATCTTTCACCAAAAGGTGACATTCTACTACATGTCTATTTGCTTCTGCAAAAGCCCTTTCCAAAAGGAAGCGATGTTGACCTGTATGGGACCACAACGGCTTTTAAGCTTTACTCTATCCCTATTTCACTCCCCAAAGCAAATGTTCCTTATGGGGCAGGTTGCTGATCACAACTCTTATGGTTGAGCAAGTTGCTAAGGAGTTAAGTACATTAGCGGAGATGCACTAGGTTTCAGATTTAGAAGGCTGATGGTCTAATACCAATTGTTGGCTACATTACCCTATTAAATAAACAAACCGTAATAAGTAAGGAAGTGTCTTATGGGCCCATTGGCTTGTGCATAGTAGAGACCACAGGTAAAAAGCCTGAGGTCCAGGAAAGCCACAGAATCATCTGGAACCTCTTCAAATCTTAAGGTCTGACTTCTTAAACAAGGTCTATGAGACAAGTCGGATAAATACAGACTGGGAGGAATTTATAGAGGGCTGAAATATAAGACCACCACTGATCTTCTTTTAAAAGTAGCACTGCACTAACATAAATGATAAAACATTAAGGAATTTATTGATTTCTCCAAATATATCTTTCCTTCCTTAGCTGGATATGGCTTTCCATTAATGGATTCATCCTGACTAGTTTCCTTTATAAACAAGGGGCAAAATATGTATGACAAGGCACACTAGTCTAACCCAGACTGAACCAATGATCTAGGTCTCATTAGTGACTTGTAATGATGCTATTATTATTCATCATCTTTTTAAAAGGCTCTAATACCTACTTAATAATTATTTTGCAGGTACCTATAAAACACAAAAAAGGAACTGACCGTGTCTTCCTACCCAATGTGGCAGATACTGTTCAACTTTCAGCTTTTCAAGTTTAAACAGCTCCATCCAGAATCCCATTTAGACCTGATTGGTAATCATATAGCCTTTTTCCAAGTTTTATTTCTATGAGCATTTGAATGAATAAAAATGATTCTAAATTCCATTAAGCCTTTTATCTAAATTTTACTATATGTGAAGATAGTATGGAAGGACTGAGATTATATGCTGAATGTCCCAAGTGAAGTAGGATTTGACCCTAAATTTTAATAGTTGATTTGCATTTCTACATCCTAGGCCTTGCCTCTGGTCAACCAGCAGCCTCTTAATATGGGTTCTAGAGTTACTGATTAGGTGGGAGAGCCAAGAGAGAGGGCACTGCTGGCCAGACAGTATTTATTAACAAGTGAAAAACCAGGTCAGAGACTAAGTAAATCTAAAGCACTTATTTCTATGTTTCACTTAAGAACACCATTCTCTCAAGTCTTTTTATTCTTCCTACAAACAGCAAAACCCTCTTCAGATTTTTGTAAAGTCCTAATCCAAGTCTTTTTGTTGAGACAGGAAAATTTATCTTAAAGGAATAAACATCAATAAATAGATAAATGGAACAGATCAGAGAAACATATTTTACAGACATACACATATATTAAATATCTAAATGCACACACACATGCACATTTATTTCTGAAGTGACATAAAAAACAAAAAGGAAGGTTGATGACTGAGATCAAGACTAAAAAATCAGCATGACCAGGTAAGATACCACTTAAGTTTCTCAGGTCCAAATTCACTCTTGTCTTCTATCAGGTAATGAATCTGGACCCTGCATACATGTCTTCTTTACCACCAAGCAGGATGTTAAGCTTTGGCAGTAGAGGGTGCTGGAGGAAGAAGGGTTTCTCCTGGGTTCAGGGCTCCTCACCTAGGCAGGCACCTGCAGCTTTTGCAGTGCCCAACTCCAGCGGTGCACGCAGCTTCCTGGTGGAGTGCCACTGGCATGGCACCTCCTGTGAAGGGGCTCCTCCCCTGCCCCCGCCCTACCACCCCACCCTTCACAGCCGCAGTGAACTCTGCTATTCAGCCTTGGCCACATCTTCTCCAATGAAGTGCGGATATAAGCTCAGGAGGGTAGTGATGCACAAGGGCAGTGATGAAATAACAAGTGGTAATAGTAAGTCAAAGGACAAAGAGAACATTCTGATCTGCTGGTAGGAAATGGAAGGCAATCTCAGTGTGTTAAAATTTTCAAAGTGGAAACCCTGGGCGCAGGTGTCCACTTTTGTTTGCTCTAGAGAAACATTCACACATATAAGCAAGGTGGCAGGTACCAAGATATTCTTTAGGAAACAGTAAAACCTACAAATTACAAACAACTTAATTGTTCTTCAGTAGGTACATACTTACAATAGTCATACTACATATACCAACAGAGAATTTAAGAAATTGGCATAGCTAATGAGTGAAAAAAAGTTGCAGGATAATACTAAAATAAAAACCCACATTATGTATTTTCTAAAGGTATGTTTAGTTGTGTGTATATAAATGCTGAGGGGGACAGTTTACCACCAAACCAGTTCTAGTAATTATCTCTGGAAAGTGGAGAAGGACAAAGATGGGGAAGGGGCTGGGATGATCAAAGCAGACTTTACCTGTAATAGTTTAAGAAGAAGAAAAAAAGAATATGTATTTGTTACTTAAATAATTAAAAATGAAGACTTTAAACAGTGGTTTTCAACACACTGGACTTCAGCCAAAGGACACTGATCCTTGAAAAAAATGAAACCACCAACCCAGCTTACTGCCTTCAATTTCTAAGCCATGATGCAGGAAGGCAACACCTAGGCAGAGGTCAGTGGACTTTCCTGAGTTGAGGGAGATGAGAGTTAAGGGAGATGAAAGCAGATAGAGTTCCCAGGGCAGAGGACCACAGAGAAGAGAACTACACAAAGGAGAACTCCAGAGACCTGCAGAAGGTACCCCTCAAGTATTCAACAACGTACTGGTCAGGACAGGTACACGAGAGGTACACGAGGAAGCTATCCAAGGCAGGGGAGCGGTTTAGAGGAAACAGTACTTGGAATGCACACAAGGCTAAGAATAGAGGCTGTTTCCACTAACCCAGACCAGAAAGCCTCTTAATCCAGGGAGCACTGGGTAGATAATTAGCCAGTGCAGAACTGGGTAACAATTAATCCTAGGACAAATGTTCTGCTCTTAACAAAACTTAAAAAGCAAGATCTGACAGGAGCCAACTCTTGTCAAGAAATTTAACTATGTCCCAGAACAAAAATAACCAGCACCCAACAAGTTAAAATTTACATCTGGCATGCAATAAGAAACTACCAAGCATACAAAGAAACAGGAAAGTTACGACCTATAGTGAGAGAAAAAAAAATAGAAACTGACCCAGATGTTAAAAATTGTTACATGTTCAAAACGTAAAGCTGGAATATGTGGAAATAGGAAAAACAACCAAACTGAACTTTTAAACTTTTAAAAATGAAGACATCTGAAGTGAAAAGACACCAAGTAAGAGTAACAATAGATTAAACATAGTAGAAGAAAGTATTAGTGAATTTAAAGATAGTAATAATCTGACACAAAGTAGAAAAAGATTTTTTAAAAACCAGAACAGTGCATGGGTAAATTTTAAGTCACCTTCTAGCAGCCTCTGTGGAACTGAAGTCCCCAACACAGAGAATGGAAAGGACAGAAAAAGATATCTGAAAAAATAATAGCTGAAGGTTTTCCAAATCTGATAAAAAACCACAAATCCAAGACACTCAACAAACCTCAACCACAGGAAACAAAACAGCATCAGTTCAGCTCAGTCGTGTCCGACTCATTGCAACCCCATGGACTGCAGCATGCCAGGCTTCCCTGTCCATCACCAACTCCTGGAGCTTGCTCAAATTCATGTTCATGGAGTAGGTGATAACATCCAACCATCTCATCCTCTGTTGTCCCCTTCTTCTCCTGACTTCAGTCTTTCCCAGCATCAGGGTCTTTTCCAATGAGTCAGTTCTTCGCATCAGGTGGCCAAAGTATTGGAGTTTCAACTTCAGCAGCAGTCCTCCCAATGAATATTCAGGACTGATTTCCTTTAGGATGGACTGGTTTGATCTCCTTGCAGTCCAAGGGACTCTCAAGAGTCTTCTCCAACACCACAGTTCAAAAGCATCAATTCTTCAGCCCTCAGCTTTATGGTCCAACTCTCACATCCATACATGACTACTGAAAAAACCATAGTTTTGACCAGACAGACTACAGCATAGCACACTACAATCAAAATGCTCAAAGTAAGTGATAAGGAGAAAAATCTTGTAAAAGCAAGAGGCAAAAAAAACACATGTACTGAGGAACAAAAGATAAAGATGAGATTTCTCATAGGACACAATGCATGTGAGATGCTGGATCAACATCATTAAAGGGCTAAAAGCAAAAATGTCAACCTAGAACTCTATATCCAATGAAATCATTCAAAAATGAAAGCACACAAACACTCTAAGAACTCATAACCAGTATCTGTACTAACAAAACTAGAAATGTTGAAGGTTAAAAGACATCCTTTAGGCAGATGGTGAATACCAGCAGCAACATGTTATCTACACAAATTAAGGAAGAGCACAGGGAGAGTTACTACACGGGTAAATATACAGGACTTGAATCATTAAAACATTAAAAAAAAAAACACTCCACCGACTGTGAACACCATGCTCATCAAAATAAGTTTGTCTTTAGCAATGTTCTAGGAGTCTTCATTCCACTCTTCTGGGCTTTAAGGCTGATAGAAGAGTATTTAATCTTTTTAGTCCAAGTTCTGCAATTTCATATAGAATGTAATTTTGCCCAAAACATGGGCCTACAGAATCAGATTTCACATACCAGCATGTGGCTTGGTACTAAATATTTATACCAAAGACTCCTGAACAGAAACCCAATTTTACTTTACATGCAATCTGAATAAGGCAGAAAGTCACAAACAAGCTTTCAGATATCTAACAACAGATGGTATTCTCATAAATACTTGGTAAACTAGCACATAAGTAGATGATTTCTATTTGAGGAAGATCAACTTTTTTTGTCAGTAGCAAGGCAAACCAAGTCCTCCCTCCAACTATCCTTTCTAAGGCTCCGTTCTCCACTGATAAAGACATCCCTTAGCCACTATCTGCTGGTCTTGAGGAGCAGGAAACACTGAGTAGACAAGCCATTTCCAACAAGACTAAGGTAAATTCATAGCATTAAATTTCACAGTTAAAATATAAATGCACACTTTAGTTAATAAAAAAAAGAGCAGATTAACCCAATAAACATGTAGATTTATTTTAGATTGGTTTGGTACATGATACAGATTGGTTTTTGCAGTTTTTAATGAACTGAAATAGAAATTTCTAAATACAGCAGTGTCTGCCTGTGCAACAATTATCTGTAAGGTAAGGTACGGGATTTTAATAGAATTACAATCTGCATGAACAAATCCTGTGAAAAATCTGAAAATGTTTCTATATACCTTCTGGATTAAAAAAAAAAAACCCAAATCATTAATGGCTCAAGATACTAAACTGCTAAAGAGGGGAAAAGGCGGTGAGTTCACTGTAAGAGCTCTTCTTGTAAAATCTAATTCCATATTATGATTCTGTTAGAGCAGTATTCAAAACTACAGAAGATGAGAGGCTTCATCAGCTACATTTTCACAGAAATAGCTATAGCGTTAACATTAATGTGTGGCAAGGTATTTTTATCTAAGTAAATGACAATTACACCATTGTAGCTAATTTTCACCCCTTTGGAGAATGGAAATTCTGTGTATTTTCAACTCAATTTTGTACCTTAAAGCAATCACTAAAAGCTAACAGCTATGGCACCATAATAAAAATTTTTGTGAGGTACCTAGAATATCACTACTGAGGGAAACACAAAAATGTGAGGTAAGCCTACCTTTTCCCAAAAACCTTTGAAGCCAGAGATTTTAAACAATTAAGGCACTTGAAAACATTAGGTATATGTACAAATGTGCAAGTAAAACAAACTTTAGCTGTACCAGCAAGTAACA